AAGCCTGGGTCTCCCTGCTCTTCAGGCTGTGGTAGTAGCGGGAGACCTGACAGCAGAAGGGTTTCTTTCAAGACAACAAAAGAATCTGGCAGCCTCCGCTTTAAATTATAGCCACCGTAGGTAGATATAGCTTCATCTTTTATGGTCTGTGAGATTTCTGTTATTTAACATCTGAGCTCCAACGAGTCAGTATGGGAAAATAACCCATCCGATAGCAGTCATCAGAACGAACATACCACTGATAGACTGCTGATAGAGGAGGCAGTGACATCTTGAACTAAGAAAGATTAAAGACCAGCATAAAAAATTCTTTCTGAAATTGAAAACACAGTTTCCAAAATAAAAAATTCAGGAGAAGAACTGAAGGAGAGGATAGTCTCCATTGAAATGTGAACCAGTAGTCTGAAAAATCAAGTGCTAAGAAATATCTCAAAGCATAAAGCAAAAAAAGTGAACCTCAAAAGGAAATAGAAATCAGGTCCAAAGGACCTAATTTGTATGAAATTTCAAAGGGAAAAGAAAGAATAAACAGAAGTCAGACAAAAAGTGTAACAATGGGAAACAGCAAAATTGAACTCAGAAAAATGTGTTGCCCTTAATTATGGAAACAGAAAGGTGAAAATAAAGGAATTAAGTACTTAATAAATCCAGTAAGAACAATAACAACAAAAACAAAGCAAAAGAAACTTTGAAGAGACAATTAATATTTATAAAAGTTGAAATTATTGAAATAGATAAAATAGTAGAAAAGAATAATAAATTCAAAGACTGATTTTTTAAAAGACCGAAAAATAGTTAAATACCATGTGAGCCTGATTAGGAAAAGAGAATGAAATCAAAATTAGGCAAGATTAACAATCTAGATGGGGGAAAAAATTTAAATCTTTTCTTCGATTAAATTAATTAATTAATTGATTAATTAAAAAAATCTTGTTAGGAAAGAAATTAAAAGAATTCTAATTAAATATTAAAGGCAACTCTAAAGAGCATTAAAAAATACCTAGAAGAAATAAATACTTTCTTAGGAAAATATATATTACAAATGACACAGAATTAGTGAAAACTTGAATAGACCAATTAGTATAGAAGAGATTGGAGAAGTGATTAATGATTTCCTATTGAAAAAGGCAGCAGGCAGAGATAGATTCACAGTTGAAATTTTAATCTAACCATTAAAGGATAATTCCAGTGTTGTTTAAACTATTGCGGGTCTTAGAAAAAGATAGAAATTTCTTGAGTTAATTTTATGAATCCAGACTACCTCAAATACCAAAGCCAAAGAAGGAATTCAACAATAACAATGAAAAGTGCAGGCTAATTTCACCTATGACTATAAATATCAAATGTTTACATAATATATCAGAGGCTATAGTAGAGAAGTGAATCTAAAGAGTAATACAGCATGACAAAACAGGCTGTACTAGAGGAATAAAAGGGTGGTTTAATTCCAGGAAGTCTATCTATATATTGATTTCATTAAAAATTAAAGGGAAAATAACCTGACCATTTCTCAATAGGTGATGAAAGGACATCAGATAAAGGTCAAGCAACCAATGCCAAGGGTAGCCTTAAGCAAAAGAAGGAAGTTACTTATATAATAAAGAAAAGCCTACTAACAAGCATTATCTCAAATGGCAAAATTAAATATTTCACTTAAAACCAGGAATCAGACAGGCATCACTATAATCACTTGTATTGGTGATTCTAGCAAATGTAAATACAATAACTGGTATAAATAATGGAGATAAAGTTCTTGATGCTGGTGATATGCCCATTTTATTAGAAAACTCGAGACTCTTGTGAAAAAACAAATAAGAGAATTTAGTGTGTTGGATGAATACAAAATAAATTACAGAAATAACCAATCTCTTTCCATTCAGGCAAAAGCACCTAGAAAAGAAAATGAAAAGAACATTTCACTTGAAAGACGAATGATACAACATAATTTGGTATAAATTTATAAGAAAGGTTCAGAACATATGTGAATAAAGCTATAAAAATATCCTTGGGAAATGTGACAAAATATAAACAAATGGAAAAATCTATTATCATCTTGGATGAAATGACTTGCTGATATAAACATGTCAATTTTCTAAAATTTAATGCATAAATTTAATGCTGTCCTAATTAGACTCTTAGTATCACTGCCTAAATACGGTTATCTTAAATTTAACAATCATCTTCCTCATCCAGGCTCCCTTATTATGACAGGAAATCCTCAGTCAGCTGTCTCCCAGGTGTTTAGGAACAGTTTCAACTCATGCTCTACTGTTCTACACTCCTAGTCCAATGATCTTGCCCCTGTACTGGTCACCAGTGTCCTTTATGAGAATATGCCTTTTCTGGGCAGAGCCCTTCCGTATTGGTGGCAAAGCTGCACAGAGGTTTATGGTAGACTGGGTGAGCGAATGGCCCTCTCTCCAATTCCTCTCTCCAAGTAGTACTTCTTAGACCTTCAGGTACCACACCATTCTCTGCATTGCTTTTGACAATTTTCAAAGCCACTGACACAAAATTTTCCTGTCCTCCATTCAGAAACATACACTCCAGTAACATCAACTTATATAAACAGATGGCTAGCGATGTCACCAGTCCATCAGGTTTACAACTGATAAGGTACTAAATCACAGTTTGGTCTCAGGTAGACCACCTATGCTCTTTTTTTATACCCCTGTCAACCAGACAGAGAATACTAATTCAAAAGGCATCTGTTTACTCCAATTCTGTTCCTATGTTGTCTCCTTTGAAAGTGAACAACTGTGCATGTAGAGAAGAATCACATATTTCTGAGGCTGAGGCCATCCTGGCTCTGAATCTCAGCTGCCAGGCTTCCCTGGGGATCTAGTGCCCAGACTCCTCAGCAACACGGAGCTCTGGGGATTTCTGTTGCGCTGGTACTGATGTGTGAATCTTTAAAGAGTTGACATAATAACAATGGCACAACATAAGGTAATTTAATTTTATTTCTTATTTCTCAAAAAGCTTCCTTAAGATGATGGGAAAATTGTTAAGAGCCTGTTACTTCTCTAAATTCTAGTAAGGTATATGACATTAGGTTCATTTAAAAACTCTGAGATTGGAAGAATAATAGTATAAAGTATAATATAGTAATAACAGTTTAAATGTAGTATAAAGTACAATATAGTATAAATGATAGTGAAAAATGATTAATAAAAATGTAATGAAGAGTACTGCCTCACCCTTAAATGACCCTAACAGTGCATTTCTGACATTGATGTTTCTAGGCTAGCTCTGGGTGAAGTCTAGCCTCTTCTTTCTGATCCCTATTCCTAACCGAAGAGTGATGTCCACCTTGGATACTTAACGGCCCCTTTCTCCAGCACGAAACCTAGTTTTCACAAACGAAGGATAAACATTCAAGTGCCAATCATGGACGTGATAAGGCTTAGTGTATATTTCTTGGAGGCTTTCTAGTGGAAAGGCACTAGTTAAAAACTCCAGGTTACGATGCCTGCTTTGCCACTCGTAATCGGAGATGTGAATCCAGCACAAATAACTCTGAGTCCAGTTTCTCTACATAAAAAATGATCTGGCAACAATATTACCAATTTCTGTCTTTTTTCCCCCTTTCTGTTCTATAATGAAAACTATATGTTTATCTCCTTCTCCATCGTGGTCTAGAATGAACCTGTGTAGCTTTGAAGAGGAATTTTCCACTCAAATGGCTAACCTTGTAATCAGCTCTCTGTTCTGCTTCTGTAGACAGAAGCTGCATAGAGGAATTTTCCACTCAAATGGCTAACCTTGTAATGAACTCTCTGTTCTGCTTCTGTAGATACGCTTGCTGCATAGGCTGCTAGGCAGGGTGACCTCGAGATCAACTGAAGACTCCCCTTTGCTTGTTCTATCTAGATAACAGATTTATTGCCTTTGCTTGTTCTGTCTAGATAACAGATGTATCCCCTTTTGCTTGTTTGCAGATAAGCCTTATAAAAGTAAGGTTATCCCTGAGCTTGGGGCCCAGATCTTCAGAGGCCTAGCTCTTCTGAGACCTCCAGTGTAATAAACCTGAGTTCTCCAACTCTGAGTGGTGCTTGGTTTCTTGCGGGTCTGATTTTTCTGCAACAGCTTGGGCCAAGGACCACAAAAGTGCTTTCGCAAAAATTCAAGGGATGACTGTGAGAACTTCTCCCTCAGGTTCTATAAAGTTCATTTCATGTAAGGACATGCTTCCCTCCCCATTCCCAAGACACTAAACTCTAAAATGGTTACCATGACCCTCAAATATTTTAAAAATTTCCTTAATAATCTTTTATAGATCTGTATAAGATTTCCTTAATAATCTTTTATAGGTCTGTATATGCTTCCTAAATCTTCATTTCAATACTGTGGTTCAATGTTTTCAGTAACACTGTGATTCAAAACTATCCCTCATTTCCTAATTTCTACAAAAGATGGGGCTCTACTTGATTTTATTTTCTAACTTTCAAGCGGCCTTGGATACCCTTTTATTCTTTGTTATACAAAGATGCTAGGATAAAAGATTTGAGGAACCCCTTCAGGGACTCAAGATGCCCAGCTCTGTTTCGCGGTAATATGTGCACCATGAACTGGTACCATAGATCCCACGCTGGAACAAGAGGTGACACGAACAAGGCTCAAGCCACCTCCTTTCGCATCTTCTTAGGAGGGAACACCGCCCAGGCGACACCGCCCAGTTTCCCCAGTTGCTAGGTCCTCTGTTTGCCGCGTTCTAAAGGAGACCCGAGCGGGACCAAGGCAAACGAGGGGGAGGGGGGGTGGTGGTGCTCGGAAAAGCCAAAAGACTGTTTTCTGTAAACAGCCAGGAAAGGAAGCCGCTCGCCTGACGGTCCCCGCTGCCCCCAAGACCTCCCCGCGCAGAAGGGGCTTAGGAATCCCCTGGTCCTTGGTTCCTCCCAACCGTCGCCGCCCCGACACGCCCTCGGCCTCAGCTCCGCGCCGCACGTCGCGCACCCCCGGTCGCAGCCCATGAATGGTCTAGCCCGTGGGTAGCCACCACCCCTTTCAGCAGCGACAGCTGCTCCAGCTGCTCGGGGTCGAGCGCCGGAGCCCTGGTGGTGGCTGCACTGGCGGTGGGCGAGCGGAGGGGAGCACCAAACCACCAGCTCAGACTGCGGCCCGGGAGTGGCCGCCCGTGGGAAACCCGGACGCGCTGGAGCTGCCTGCAGCGGGGAGGCGAGGACCGGGGCTGGGGTTCCGCACGGGAGTGAGTACCTGAAGCCCTGAACCTCCCCGAATCCCCTTTACGCCCCCAGGTGCCTGAGGTCTCGGCCACCCCCTGGGACGGTCTCTGCTCTGGGGACCCTGTCCCCCTCGGGAGCGGCAGAACAGGGAGCTGCTGCTGTTAGGCTAATGATTCAGCACCATTTGTGACCCAGAGGTTTGGGCAGAATGGGGGAGGGAGGAGGACGAGGTCACTTGTGCTCTCACCCCAGTTTCTAGGCTCCAGAACCACCCGGGCGGGTGGGGTCGGGTGGGGTGAACAAGGAAGCTCCCTGCCGGTTTGTTCTGAAATTCTGTCCTTTTCACACATCCTGGTTTGAACCTCCCATGAATATGCGGTGCGATCTTCAAAGTGTGTCAGATTAGTGTCTCTTTCAAGCATGCAGTCAAGTCTAGGGCCGTTGTCGATATATCTGTTTCTCTACTTCTCGCTATATTGTATGTCTAATTCATGCCATCATCCACTTAATTTTACATCGCATGGCATTCCCCTACTAATGTATAAGAAGGATGCTGTATCAAAGTTGTCTTGTATCCAGGGTTCGTTTGATAGGTCCTGGCATAGGAGGAAAAGATTTAAGGTAGGAAATAATTATTTCAGAGCCTAGGCACTTATATATATTATTTCATTAAATCATCACAGCAACTCAGAACCAAATGTGGAAAATGAAGAGCAGGGAATTTAAATTATGTGCTCTAGGTCACAGAACAGGTATTTGAATACAAATCTCCCTGACCCTAAAGCCCATGGATCTTTCACTGTATTAAGAAGTTTAGCTAAGTGTTCATATATATGATCTATTGACCATAGAATTAATTTTCATGGGAGTAATCTTAAACAACAGCAAGAACAACCTGTAAACTTCCTGTATGTGGAATTATTGTTCTTTTAGTATGAAAGTAAGAACATGCTTTGAATTATGTGAAAACAAAAAACATTTTCTTAGGAAGCATTTGCCAAAAGATAATATCTGGACAACACTGTTAGGTCATAACAGGAGATGTTCAACACATTTTTGGCAGTGATATATGGTGGATTTTCAAATGTTGGAGAAACCAATCAGGAAAGTTAAAAAAAATCTGGGTATCTTTCTTTTAAAAACTTTAGGATAACTGTAAGAACAGTTATCTAGTTCATGGAGTGTGTGATTGAACTGTTTTTTGTTGGGTGTGTCACCCCATTATAAGGTAACAGATAAACCCAGACTGATAATGTTATTCTCTTTCTTATGATTCTGTGATTTGCTATAGCAGATGATAATTCCATTTTACAGACTAAGGAACTGAAATACAAAGAAAGTTCAAAATCACCCAGCTAGTAAGTGGTGGATTCTGAACAAGCATGGACTCTTACAAAAATATGTGTGTTATAGCAAAATGTAGTTCTGTGGAGTAGGAAAGTGAATTGATTTGTTTTTGCCGTCCTTCGGAGTCAACAATTATAGGGACCTTGTGTGCTCCTTCTGCAAAAGTAATGGAAGATAGGTTTTTCTTTGTCCCTTGCTTGGCCATTTGATTTGTTTTCATTTATGATTTATATATTTTCTCTTAAGATACATAACTCTTGTTAATGTCTCAGGAGACAGGTTGCTATAGTACAAGTGCTCATTATCTTTAAGTGCTGGAATAGAATTTGATGGCAGACAGGAACATAGTCATTGTAGCTCACTGTTTCTAAAGTATTGAACCATTTGCATTGGAGAATCTTTTTTAAATTAATGGGGACCTTGATAGACTAAAGCCCAGTGCCTAAATAAGGCCATAAAATGGAGGCACAAATTCATATTTGTTATTCAGACAAGACCATAAGAGAAGTATGATCTTGTGAAGAGTCTTAAGTTTGATTCCTAGGAGGTCATTTCTTTTTGTTCTTTATATGGCTGTAGACTATATTGTGAATCTTGGTGAGGCATCTTGCAGTCCAATCTGTTTAATCCCAAAAAGGACAGCAGAATTGGTATGAATGAGTAAGCAAAAAGAACATCACTGCTATTTCTGTTTTTTAAAGGAAAGTACATGGCCTAGGGATGGAAGGACAGTAGGAACGTTTTAAAACAGGCAACATACTTTATTTAGATAACATCACTGAGAGTGTGAAATTAATACCAACTTGGCTTTAGAACTGCATTTTCACTGTCTCTGTGTTTCTCTCTCCTCTCTCTCTCTCTCTCTCTCTCTATTTGTCCATTGTCTAATAAATATTGTCTATAGACCATCTAAATCCTTGTCTTCAAAGAACTTAGTCTAGCTATAGAGACATTTACTTACACATGAGTAATTAACAAGATAATTAGAATGGGATTAATACCAGAAAAAGGTGATGCAAACTTAAGGTATTATATAATACATTAATAAGAAGGAGAAATAGTAAAGGCTGGGGTCATCAGAGGTTCGGGAAAGCCTTCCTGGAAGGAAGGGAATTAAATAACTCTGAAAGATGGGAAGGATTTCCATAGGCAAAGAGAAAGCCAGACAAACAGGTTCAGCAAAGACGTGCACATATACCGTTTGGATACACAGTGACAGATTATGAAGAACCTGGAATATCAGGCAGTGAAATCTGCTCTTTAGCTGGTAATCATAGGGAACTAGGTTTCTAAGTAGGCCAAATTTCTCTTTGGCTGGCTTTGCTCCCATTCTCCATATTTCTTGCTCCAAGTGCCCTTCCAGAAAATGGCATATTTCCTGGGTACTCATATTAAAAGGATTAGTTTTCAACTAAACGCAGAAAAAGTTTTTTTATGCAAGTAAAACATGTCCTCTTCCAAAGAAGTTTGCCTTTTTAAAAGCTTTCCCTCTCCATTACAGAATTATGAACAATTTGGAAATTATAAGACTATAAAAAGAAAGAAAATCACCATAATCTTACTAACTAAAGTTAACCACTCTTAATATTTTGATGTTTCTTCCACCCTTTTTTCTTGCAGTTTTAATCATACTATATATATTACTTTTTATATATTTTTACATTAAATTTTATAATATTAATTTTCACTTAATTACAATTGAACAGTGAACATTTAAAATGCCTACATAATTTTCTACTAGGTTGATTCCTAATCATTGCTCATCGTCACTATATTATTGATAGTAATAAACAACACTATGATGAACATGCTTGCTCATGGCTCTTTTCTATATTTTGGAAATTAGTTCCTCAGGATAGAGTCTCAAAAATAAAATTTCTTGGTTAAAAGATACGAGTTATTAGTTTGACATTTCTTATTGAAATATAATTGACATATAACATTATATTAGTTGCAGGTAAAACCGAGTGAGTCAACAGAGAGTCTGTACCCACCCGCGTGTGCAGTGAGACAATGAGAACTGACACTGGACTTTTCAGTGGAGAAAGATTGGCTATTTTATTGTGAATGGTGCTACCCAGTAGAATGGGAAGACAACGCTCAAAAGCTTACTCCTCGATGGTTTACAGACAAGAGGTTTTATAGAGCAAAAATCATGAGTAATCATGAGTAAGGGGTTTAGGGTCATGGGCTATATTGATTGGTCAGTTCTGATGCAAGCTTTAGCAATCTGATTTATTCAGCTCCTGGTGGCATCCTGTTCAGGTTTACGTGATTATGACTAGGTAGTTTCCAACAGAAAGAGAGGCCTGTAAGGCATCTTGGGATTGTGGGTCAGTGACATTATCTTAAGAGCAGAAAGGAAAGAACAGAGCTATACATTTCATATTTAACAGTTTACATTCTTCTGTTATCTTAAGCAGAGTTTAACCTCCGAAGCTTGCTTTATAAGCAGGCCTACCTGCCCCAGGACATGACTACATTCCAGTGCAGCTCTGGCTCTTAGCAAGGGCTAATTTAATAATTTTAACTAAAATTGAGCAACATTCTAATATATCTAGTCTTGTGATTTGCTGTCTATTTCAGATGTACAACATAATTATTCGAATATTTGTATATATTATGAAATGATGACCACAATAAGTCCACTTAACATTCATTACTACACATAGTTGCAAAAAAATTTTTTTTCTTGTGCTGCTTAGTTTGGCTATTTTATGTAAGTTTTGAAACTCTACTGAATTCTGTGTGTTCTCTTTGGAACAGTTACATATTAAGTATAAGATATTTGCATGTTAATAATAACATTCAATCCTGTCTGGCTCCTCAGATTATTCTTTCAGGCCACCTCTTCTTTTGAGGAGAAAGACTCCTTAAATCCTGGGGTCTGGGAGAAAGGCAGACAGTTGGGGCCACTGAGGAGAGAAGATATAAATAAAGTTGGAGAACAGGTTTGGTGAGAATGAGCAAGAGTTTATAGTCAGAGAAGGGATGTATGTGATAGACTACTATCTGATCCTAATCTTGTATTTGTGCCCCCTACCCCGCCCCAACCGTCTCCACCTCCACCGCCTGGAGGACATCTATCTATTTCAAACTTCAGCTTCTTCTATTTTCCTCTATCTGCTAGCAAAACACATGAACTCACTCATGCACTCTAATTTGGAGAATCCACATAGGTGAGGGCAGGTGTTCTAGACCTCCCAGTTCCAAGCAGAAGCCCTGGTTACAGGTACAAGAGTATGTGGTGGACACTGAAGACACCACTCCCATCCTCCATGTACATTGCCAGAGACGGCCTTTGAGAACGGCAGCTACTGAAGACACATAACATTCCCACTGTCCCCTCCAGGCTCTCCTCTGCTTGTTCCCAATATCCTCCATTGGAGGAAATTTCCCTCATGGAGGAGAGAAGCAGTGCCTCAGTTTCCTCTACCAGTTGTAGGGACATATGACACTACCTCCTTAGACAAGCACATTGGCCAAGTCCCAGGATCTCACCTGAGCTTTGTCCTTGTCCCACCCCTACCCGCTTTGGGAAGCTACTGAGGCAGGGAGGCTGTTAACTCTCTGAGGACAAGTGGAAGGTGAGGCAGGGGACATGAACATGTCTTGAGGGCACAAGGAGGCAGCAGAGAGGCAGGTTCTTATGCAGTCCTCTGAAACCTGAAAAGAA